GTCTTATTTTTTCTCCTCTGTATGTGACTTCTTGTTTTTCACAAGCTGTTCTCAGGATTCTTTGTTTGTCTTTGGTTTTGGCAAGTGTGATTATGATATGCCTTGGTGATTTTCTTTTGGGGTCTATTCTATATGGGGTTTGTTGAGCTTCTTGGATGGCAAGCTTTTCATCTTTCATGATATTGGGCAAGTTTTCTGTCAGCAGTTCCTCAGTGATCCTCTCTGTGTTTTCTGTTTTCTCTCCCTGTTTGGAATTCCAATCACTCACAGATTTTTGCTTTTGATTGTATCCCACTTAACTCTCAGGGTCTCTTCATTTTTCTTGTTCTTTTTTCTGAGTTTTCCTCAAACTGAGTTGTATCCAAGTGTTTGTCTTCAATTCCACTGATCCTGTCTTCCACCATCTCAAATCTGCTTCTCAGCCCTTCTAGGACACCGTCCATTTCTGAAATATTGTTGTTTATCTTTTGGATTTCTTATTGTAGTCTTTGTATAATTTCTAGTTGCGAATTTATTTTGGCATTTTGTTCCTGCATTATTTTCCTGAATTCTTCCAATTTTTTGTCTGTATTTTCCATGAATTCGTCTATCTTTTCCTCATGTTTGCCAGATTTTTGCCTCAGCTCTTGGAGAACTCTGAGTATTAGAGATTTGAATTCCCTATCAGGTAGTTCTAGTGCATTTTCTTCCACTGGCGAGTCATCTGTTGTTTTATTTTGGACGCCTACTGGAATCATCCTGTCCTGTTTTTGTAAATGTTTTTATATTGTCTGCTGTCTTCGGGGCATTCAGTAGTTATTTTTCTCATTTACTGATTGTAGATTTGTTTGTTTCGTCCCTTTCTTTTAAAAAAATTTGACTATGTCTGAGCAGGCGGACTGTGTGTTCTTTGCTGTTTGCTCGTCTGTGGGCACAATACTTTTCACGTCCTTCTCCAATTGGCAGGTTCAGTCACTCAGCTATGGTATGGCAGGGCAGGTTTAGCTGAAGAGGAGTTACTGGGACGGGTTGTTTGTGGCCCTTACTACAGCCACCAGAGCGGGTTGGTAATCAGTGCAGGGCAGGTTCCAGAAGGCCGTGCCTCTGCTGCTTGGTGGTGTGATGTCAAGTGCATGGTGCAGGTAGGCAGGATGCAGCGGGGAGATTGTTATCTGTGGAGCTAAAATGGATATGGGAGAGAGGAGAGAGGAACAGGAGCCAAAAACATACAAAGAAACAAAAAAGAATGCTAGGGGACCTTGACGTTGAAGTGGAGAGATGAGAGACTATGAAATGGAGAAAAACAGAAGAAAAGAATGAATAAATAAATAAAATTCAGAAAGGTTAAAGAACCGCAAAGTTCCCAGGGATCCCACCGGTGCAGCTATGAGGTCTGGGGAAGTCACTCTCAGGTGCTGCAGTACAGCCTGGCTAGAAGGCGTAGAGGTATACAATGCCAGGTATTCAGGGAACAGAAAGAGAAGGAAAATATAGAGAGACGAGAAACTAAGCAATGAAGAAAGACAAAAAGGGACAAAGAGGGAAAAGAAAACAAAACAAATTAAAAAACAAAAAAACACAAAAAAAAAAAAACACAAAAGGCCCCCCAAAAAAAAACAGAAAAAAAAAACAAAGAAAAAAGAAATGCCCTCAGGGATCCCTCTGCACGTCTGTGCAAGGCAAGTGGGAAGTATCCTTGCCACGCAGCACCACCTGGCCAGAAAGGGCTCCCAACTCAAGAAAAGAAAAGAAACAAACAATTCAAAACAAACAAACGAACAAAAGCCCCGGGATCCCACCAGCACGGCAGCCCAGACCAGGAAGCAGCTCCACACTCGAATGGAGCTCCACAGCCCCTCAGGAAGATGCAAAGATGGCACACGGAGCCAGGTATTTGAGCAAAAGGAGGGGTAGGTGGTGAGAGGTAAGGAAGAAATCAAAAGAAGCAGGAAAAAAAGCAACACTAGCAGCCAACAAATGGCACTCAGAGAGCCAGCTAGTGCAGGCTGGTGTTTCTCGCACAAGAGACTGTGTCTGCGGGAAGCAGAGGGGGCCGAGTGTGGGTGAAGAAGGGTAGGGAGTGGGAGAGCGTATATCACAAATTACCGGAGCTTTGCAGCCCCTCAGGAAGAAGCAAAGATGGCACACTGAGCCAGGTATTTGAGCGAAAGGAGGGGGAGGTGGTGAGAGATAAGAAAGAAATCAAAAGGAGCGGAAAAAAGCAACACCAGCAGCCAACAAACGGCACTCAGAGAGCCGGCCCGTTTGGGTGTGTGGAATCCAAGCAGCCGGTGTTTCCCGGTCAAGAGACTGTGGCCACGGGAAGCAGGGGAGGCTGAATCGGGGTGAAGAAGGGTGGGGGGTGGGAAAGTGTATATTGCAAATAACTGGTTGTTTTGTCTCCTGCTGGCCGCTCCGTGAGGCTGCTTTCTCGTACCCCGTTTGCTGGTCTCCGATAGGTGTCCAAGATGGCGGATCCGTGCTGCATTAGCTGGTAGGGGACCTCTGCATGAATCTCTCCTCGCT